AATAATATATATATGTGTGTGTGTGTGTGTGTGTGTGTGTGTGTGTGTGTGTGTGTGTATGTATATGTATATATTTATGTATATCACCTCACCGATGCTCTCAACTAATTAAGGTACAATATTGATGCAAATGTTACGACAGTAAGATTGTGAATATAGCGCATCCGTCGCTAGAGCTGGCACATATAACGTGTACATGAATCGATATATATATATATATATATATATACTCAGGAGAATGTGATACTTAAACAGAACATTCAACAACGATTTGTATGTTACGTTTGAATAGAGGCACTTCGACCGAAAAGTCTATAATATTCCAACCCCAGCAGAGCAACGGATACCAATCAGCAAACCCATATTCATTTCCACACCCCACCCCACCCCACGCATAGATGTATACATTTATCGTCATTACAAACACCCATCAATCACCGCTTCATACCTCAATCGCTATAGGCAGCTCCTGTCCCTGCCCAAACGTAGTCGAGCCCGTACAGGCAAGCTCGCCACACCCAATGATGCACACATTCTCACCCACCACACAATTGGCCACATGCGAATTCCTCGTAACCAGCGAGTTGTTCCCCACAGTCACATTGCTGAGATCGGTGCTGAAAACGCCGGTAGGTAGGTAGCTTGTGCCTGTGTTGATACGACCCGTAAACACACCCAGACGTACTCGTCCGTGGAATTCACAGTTACGCACACGCCGCGCGTTGAACTTCTCGGCCACGAGAACACTGGCCCAGTCTTCCGCACCACAGCCCTGGCGCTCCAGTTGGGCAACTTCTGAGTAGGACTGAGAGCAGTTGGTAGGGTGGGTTTGTTAGATGAACAGCATGACCAATTGTGTCAATCAGCGTCTGATGGGTTTAGGTCTGGCGTTGACTGTAGCGAGAGTGGAGTGGAAAAAAACAGCACCTAGTTCTCAATATAATTGACGAATAGCCTTGGCATCACACTATCACACCTTTTAATTGTATATTAAGAGGACTGAGAGCAGTTGATGGTATAGGATGTCATTGGCTATGGGTATATTGATGTCGGAGTGTCAGACTGCGAGTATGACTGATGACTTGGGCAACATAGGGCACATCCCAACAATGGCAATGACGTCCGAGATAACAACTTAGTTAGGACAAAGAGCGTTTGATAAATAGTACGTGGTATCATACAAACATCGATATTGCAGTGAACATCGATGTCAAAGTGATATACGCTAGTTCAACTGAGATATTTGAGTGGCGGGTCCATTCAAATGTGAGTGCCTATGCCTCAAGTGACTACCATTGGTCACAGATATCACTTTGAGTGTCGAATGTTCTGAAGCGGAGATGAACTTGATTCCCCATGCGCTGGTATAAACCCGATCGCACGGAACGAGAGACTCTATTATATTTTATATGTATGATACTGTGTATATGCGAGCGCATGAGGAATAGAGTTAAATCTCAATTAAACAATAGTACGCCAGACTCACTCACATGTATACACACACACACGCACAACAAAACACAGAATGACAAACACACCCACAACCACTATA